ACAGAGTGAACAGACCGACCAGACAGAGCAGACCGACCAGATTCAACATGAAACCATCGTCCAACCAGACCGAACAGCCGGAACAGACCGAGCAGACTGACCAGAGTGAGCAGACTGACTAGATCGACCAAACCGACCAGACAGAACAGACAGAACAGACAGAACAGACAGAACAGACCGACCAGATCGAACAAACTGAACAGCCGGAACAGACGGAACAGCCGGAACAAACCGAACAGCCAGAACAGCCAGAACAGACCGAACAGACCGAACAGACCGAACAGCCAGAACAGACCGAACAGCCAGAACAGACCGAACAGACCGAACAGACAGAACAGACAGAACAGACAGAACAGACCGACAGACCGAACAGCCAGAACAGCCAGAACAGCCAGAACAGACCGAACAGACCGAACAGACCGAACAGCCAGAACAGACCGAACAGCCAGAACAGACAGAACAGCCAGAACAGCCAGAACAGCCAGAACAGAACAGACAACAGACAGAACAGACAGAACAGACAGAACAGACCGAACAGACAGAACAGACCGAACAGACAGAACAGCCCGAACAGACAGAACAGACAGAACAGACCGAACAGACCGAACAGACCGAAAAACCGAACAGAACAGAACAGACAGAACAGACAGAACAGCCCGAACAGCCCGAACAGCCCGAACAGACCGAACAGACAGAACAGACCGAACAGACCGAACAGACCGAACAGACAGAACAGACAGAACAGACAGAACAGACCGAACAGACCGAACAGACAGAACAGACCGAACAGACCGAACAGACAGAACAGACAGACCAGACAGAACAGACCGAACAGGACGAGAACAGACCGAACAGACCGAACAGACAGAACAGACAGACAGACCGAACAGACAGAACAGCCAGAACAGCCCGAACAGCCAGAACAGCCCGAACAGCCAGAACAGACCGAACAGACTGAACAGACAGAACAGACAGAACAGACCGACCAGACAGAACAGACAGAACAGACAGAACAGACCGACCAGACAGAACAGACCGACCAGACAGAACAGACCGACCAGATCGAACAGACCGACCAGACAGAACAGACCGACCAGATCGAACAGCCGGAACAAACTGAACAGCCAGAACAGACCGAACAGACTGAAAAGACCAACCAGACCGACCAGACGGAACAGACGGAACAGACCGATCAAACGGAACAGACCGACCAGATGGAACAGACCGACCAGACTGAACAGACGGAACAGACCGATCAAACGGAACAGACCAGACCGAACATCATTAATTGTGCAGGAGGAAAGGGCTGGATGGTTTGCATTTCAGAGATATGTTTCTACTATTTTGCCCTCCTATCCCTCTTGTATTGATCTGTATTCTGTATTGTCTCCCGTTATATCGTAAAGTGCTGAGCAAACTGTTGGCGCCATAAATCCTGTATAATAATAATTTTGACTATCTATTACCCTGGTGGCCAATCCATAGCCCAAGGGCCACATGTGGCCCTTTGGCACTTTTTCTACTGCCCTTAGGGCCTCGGGGATCAAATCCTTCTTTCCCTCATGAACATGCAGATCCGTCATCATTTGTTAGACGCATTTCTGCTGAATTTGTTGTTGTATTCTGTCTCTCAGTGTTACACCGAACATTCCATTGTTAGACCGATCATTTCTGTGTGAGGGGCGAACATTCCATTGTTAGACCGATCATTTCTGTGTGAGGGGCGAACATTCAGCATCGGGGGGGAGCAAATACACATTTCCTTCACTGTATGCCTGATCTGTGTGTAACTACTGGCATCCAGCAATCAGGTACATAATCAAACACAGTAAGCAAAGTTACAGTAACATGGCTGCCATAAGCCCATTTGAAGACCGAGCTTGGAAAGGGAGTAAGCAAAGCTCTACAGTAAGCCATGGCTGCCATATTGGAGCCCATTTGAAGACCGAAGTTGGGGAACACTGCTCTACGTTAAGCCCTGGATGCCATATTGGAGCCCATTTGAAGACCGAAGTTGGGAACCACTGCTCTATGTTAAGCCCTGGATGCCATATTGGAGCCCATTTGAAGATCAGCTCTACATTAAGTTGGGAAACACTGCTCTACATTAAGCCCTGGATGCCATATTGGAGCCCATTTGAAGATCAGAGTTGGGAAACACTGCTCTACGTTAAGCCATGGCTGCCATATTGGAGCCCATTTGAAGACCGAAGTTGGGATCCACTGCTGGCTGCTATGTTAAGCCCTGGATGCCATATTGGAGCCCATTTGAAGACCGAAGTTGGGAAACACTGCTCTATGTTAAGCCCTGGATGCCATATTGGAGCCCATTTGAAGACCGAAGTTGGGAACCACGCCCATTTGAAGATCAGAGTTTGGAAAACATGCCACTGCTTGAAGATTGCCATGCCATATTGGAGCCCAGAGTTGGGAAACACTGCTCTACATTAAGCCCTGGATGCCATATTGGAGCCCATTTGAAGACCAAGTTGGGAAACACTGCTCTACATTAAGCCTTGGCTGCTATATTGGAGCCCATTTGAAGACCAGAAGTTGGGACTGCTCACATTAATTGCCATATTGGGATTGGGAAACACTGCTCTATGTTAAGCCCTGGATGCCATATTGGAGCCCATTTGAAGACCCGAGTTGGGAACACTGCTCTACATTAAGCCATGGCTGCTATATTGGAGCCCATTTGAAGACCCGGAGTTGGGGAAACACTGCTCTACATTAAGCCATGGCTGCTATATTGGAGCCCATTTGAAGACCGGAGTTGGGAAAACACTGCTCTACATTAAGCCACTGGCTGCTATATTGGAGCCCATTTGAAGACCGGAGTTGGGAAACACTGCTCTACATTAAGCACTGGCTGCTATATTGGAGCCCATTTGAAGACCAAAGTTGGGAAACACTGCTCTACATTAAGCCCATGGCTGCTATATTGGAGCCCATTTGAAGAGATCAGAGTTGGGAAACACTGCTCTACATTAAGCCCTGGCTGCTATATTGGAGCCCATTTGAAGATCAGAGTTGGGGAACACACTGCTCTATATTGGAGCCCATTTGAAGACTTGGCTGCTATATTGGAGCCCATTTGATGAGCCCATTTGAAGAAGAGTTAGGGAACACTGCTCTACATTAAGCCCTGGATGCCATATTGGAGCCCATTTGAAGACTGAAGTTGGGAAACACTGCTCTACATTAAGCCATGGCTGCTATATTGGAGCCCATTTGAAGACCGAAGTTGGGAAACACTGCTCTACATTAACCACTGGCTGCTATATTGGGGCCCATTTGAAGATCAGAGTTGGGAAACACTGCTCTACATTAAGCCCTGGATGCCATATTGGAGCCCATTTGAAGACCAAAGTTGGGAAACACTGCTCTACGTTAAGCCTTGGCTGCTATATTGGAGCCCATTTGAAGACCAAAGTTGGGAAACACTGCTCTACATTAAGCCATGGCTGCCATATTGGAGCCCATTTGAAGACCAGAATTGGGAAACACTGCTCTATGTTAAGCCCTGGATGCCATATTGGAGCCCATTTGAAGACCGGAGTTGGGGAACACTGCTCTACATTAAGCCATGGCTGCTATATTGGAGCCCATTTGAAGACCGGAGTTGGGGAACACTGCTCTACATTAAGCCATGGCTGCTGGAGCCCATTTGAAGACCGGAGTTGGGGAACACTGCTCTACATTAAGCCATGGCTGCTATATTGGAGCCCATTTGAAGACCGGAGTTGGGGAACACTGCTCTACATTAAGCCCTGGATGATTAATGGCTTAATAAAAATCAGTGGTTCCCAACCTCAGTCTTCAAGCACCCTCAACAGTTCATGCTTCCAGGGTTTCCTTCACCTTGCACAGGGGCTTTAAGTCAATGTCAGAACACAAGTTCAATGACAATATTTCATGAATATTCCAGCGTTGATGTGAATCTCCCTCGTAGTCCTTTTCCTGCTGGGTTGAAGCTGCCACAAAAAGCTTCCCTGGCGCTACACACCCGAGGAAACCGTAAGTGACCCCAGGAGGTACAAACAAAAGCCTACACAAGTACCGGGCTGTTTTTTGGTGTCGCTTTATTTTTTTAAATCCCATTTTCTTCATGAATTATCGGGGACGTGGCGAAGCTTCGCCCACAATTGAGGCCAAGTCAATGCCGGAACCCAGTCCATTGTGAAGGCCCGATGAGTACGCCTGTGCTTTATCTCAGCTGTATTTGCACATAAATATCTTTTTATCGCGGCGATGACACAATTTAAAATCAAATTCTGCCTCTTTTTAAACTCCAAAATGTTGTCTATTATGGACGGAGCGCGGCGATGTGCGAGGAACAGGTGCGGCATAGGAAACATAACATATGGTTATCAAGGAGGCACGCTCCTCTGAGACTCCGCTCTATATTTATGAGATGGAAGGAAAAAGACAAAAAAAAAAGTGCGCCGTTCTCTTTTGTACTTTTTACAATTGTTGTCTTCAGGTCTGGCGGGATTATTCAATAAGGCGATGGCGAGAGCAAAAATCAGAAAGAGCCAGGAGCGAGAACCTACGGCGACACGTTGGACGCCATAGACGGGGCTTCCGTCAGCTGCAGGCAGATTCCTTACTATTGATTTCGGCATTTAACACACAATCTCCTAAATCAGGGGGGGGCAACTGTGGCCCTCCAGCTGTTGTAGAACTACAAGTCCCAGGAGGCATTGCAAAACTGACAGTTACAAGCAGGGGTGTGTTTACCACAAGGCAAACAAGGCATTTGCCTAGGGCGGCATTTTTCAGGGGGGGGGGGGGGGGGGGGGGGGCACCACTCCCCGGAAGAAGGGACCCATGCGGCATGGGGACAAGGTGGGATCCGAGAGAGGCTGTAGGTTCTTTGAAGGTGTATGAAGAGCCTCAGAGACTCTCATTCCAGGGGATGTCTGGACCTGTGAAGGTGAATGTCTGGACCTGTGAAGGTGAATGTCTGGACCTGTGAAGGTGAGTGTCTGGACCAGGGGCCGCTGAATGGAGGGTGGTGGTAGTGGAAGGCTTTCTCGGATGGGGGTGGAGGGGGCAGGTGGTGTTGGTGTCAGGCTGTCTCCGCGGGAGGGGCGGCGGATGATTTTTGTGTTGCCTAGGGCAGCACAAAACCTAAATACACCATTGGTTACAAGCATGACTCCCAAAGGCAGAGGCATGATGGGACTTGTAGTTCAGGCATGATGGGACTTGTAATTCAGGCATGATGGGACTTGTAGTTCACCAACAGCTGGAGGGCCACAGTTGCCCACCCCTGTCCTAAATGCCTTATTCATTTACACGGATGGGCGAGGGGTGGTAAAACTAGACAGTTTAAACAGGGTTTTACCAACCCCCAACTGCCGAGCCATAGGTTAAAGTGGTTGTAAACCCTTCCATATACCCAGTGAAGTGACACAGAAATGAAACAAATCCTCCTACATAAGTTGTACCTGCTTATCTACAGCCGTCTAAAACATACAGATCAAAGGATTCTGCTCAGCTCCAGAAAGCAGGGGGTGGGGATCTGATGATACACACTGCACAGCATAGAGCAGGGAGCTGAGTGTAATCTGAGACCTGAGTGTAGGGATAGGACAACCCCCCCCCCCACTACACAGTCACACAGGGAAACATGCACAGCTGTGGCTGTCAATCACAGGCTATGTGCTGAAAGCCCCCTCCCCGTTCCCTCTTGATTACCTGGAGTCTGTACAATCTGTCAGAAGCCAGTGAAGTGACTGGCCTCGGGTGATACACAGAAATGAAACAAATCCTCCTACATAAGTTGTACCTGCTTATCTACAGCCTTCTAAAACATACAGATCAAAGGATTCTTCTGAGCTCCAGAAGGCAGGGGGTGGGGATCTGATGATACACACTGCACAGCATAGAGCAGGGAGCTGAGTGTAATCTGAGACCTGAGTGTGGGGATAGGACACCCCCCTGCTACACAGTCCCACAGGGAAACATGCACAGCTGCGGCTGCCAAATCATAGACTGTGTGCTGAAAGCCCCCTCCCCGTTCCCTCTTGATTACCTGGAGTCTGTACCAGGGGCGGACTGACAACTCACGGGGCCCCCGGCAATTGTGAATCATGGGGCCCCTGTGTCCTTGCCCACACTCAAAACACACCCAAAAAAAGCCTATAAAAAGGTACCAGGGGCATTTTATGGGGCCCCCTTCTGACCCCGGGCCCTCGGGCAGTGCCCTAGTGGATCGAATGGTCAGTCCGCCCCTGGTCTGTACAATCTGTCAGAAGCAACTCATGCAGATAGTAGAGGACAGAGAGAGGAGACAGAAATCACACTCAGTGCTTTGGATGGAGGCAATATACACTATAGAAGGATATGCTTTGTTCATTTTACATGTCAGGGGTATGACCTGCGGTCATGTTAGTTGACATCACCATGGTTATGACGCAGTGAAAATTATATAACCTGCCGCTTTTGGCGGAGAGAGGAGCAGAAGAGTACTTTGCCATCCTAGACTATAGGCCCGTGTGTTTCTATTGATGCACACAGTGTAGGAAGACACAACTCTAGTTCCTACATGCAAAGGTGGCTCCATAGGATGCTGCAAGAGAATGGATCCACCCTGGAACAGGAAACCTGAGGTCATGACTCCAGCTGGAACACAGTGTAGCCACTGGTTACTCCTGAAACGCGTTGGTATTTGCACCTTACATGGATTGGTCTGTTCTTTGGATGGATTAATAAACGGTTCTGAGGCTTTCAACATGATGAACGGTTCCCCTTTCTTCTTCAGAGTTATTATAGAAAATAGACATGTGCGGTTCGTTTCGGTCCAAATAGAAATTCGGACAAACGTTTCACTATTCTCAGATTCGGATATTTCTGAATTTACAAATTATAATAATAGTAACAAATTTAAATGAATCCGAAATAACAAAACTAAATTTTGTCCAAAATATGAATCAAATGCGAAAATGAAATCGAATTCAAAAACAAATTTTAAATATAAACATATTGCCGATTTCCAAAAACTGTGTGCGTTATATTTGTTTTCCAAAAATTTTGAATTTTGAAAAGAATACAATACAGTAAAATAAAAAAGACTAGAATATAAAAGAATGGAGTAGAAAAAAAAAATAGAAAATAAAAATAAAATAAAGGAATAGAAAAAAAAAAATAGAAAGAATATAGCTGTCTAGCCCCGAAATTCAAATTTCAAAAAGAATAGAATAGAGTAAAAAAGAACAGAATAGAAAATAAAGGAATAGAATAGAAAATAAAGGAATAAAATAGAAACTGATAGAAAGGAATAGAATATAAAAGAAAAGAATAGAATGCAATAGAACTTCAATTGTAAATAAATACAAATTTTGAATGAAATAGAACCAGCTGTTCTTCACAATTAATTTGGATCGATTCAATATTTTTATGTATTAAGTACTTATTAGGGTTGGACATGATGTTCGTATGTTCGGCGAACGCACAAACCGTAAGGGCGTTCGGCGGTCTTTTCGCCTGCCGCGCCCCACAATGCACTGCACCCTGACAGTGCATTGTGATTGGCAAAAAAAAATGCACCTGGCCACAGGTCAGGTGCAATGCTTTGGCCAATCACAATGACGGCGCAAGGGGCAAGGTGACCCCACCCCCTTGTGACATCACAGTATTTAGGAAATGTCATCCGGTACAGCTGTCAGACGGTAGGAGACGGCGTAGAGAGCGGAGTGGTTTTTTTTTCGGGTTGGCGGTGGCGGCGGACATCGTGATTGACGTGAGATCTACTTCAGGGGACATTTTTTTAATTTTAATAAAGGACTTGTCACAGACGGTCTCCTGTCATTTTTTACACTACACTTTTTTTTTTCCACATGGGGGGGGGGGGGCAGGATCTGGGGATTCTGTTAAGCCCCCCCCCCCCCCCGCCTGCAGACCTCTACAACCACCGTCCACTGTTGTGAGGAAAAGACTCTTGTTCCCATCAACATGGGGACAAGGTGCTTTGGGGGGAGCCCCCCTGCCCAAAGCACCCCCACCCATTTTCAGGGCATGTGGCCTAGTATGGTTCAGGAAGTGGGGCGCTCACTCATCACCCCCCCCTTTCCTGACCTGCCAGGTTGCATGCTTGGATACGGGTCTGGTATGGATTTTGAGGGGGACCCCATACCATTTAAAAAGAAAATTGGCGTAGGGGTTCCCCTCAAAATCCATACCAGAACCGAAGAGCTTGGTATGGATGGGGTGAGATCAGGGGTGTGTTTAGGTTTTGTGCTGCCCTAGGCCAGTGTTTCCCAACCTTTTTTCAGTCAAGGCACCTTTAAAAATGATGGACGGTCCCAACGCACCTTTAAAAATGATGGACAGTCCCGAGGCACCCTTTAAAAATGATGGACAGTCTTGAGGCACCCTTTAAAAATGATGGACAGTCTTGAGGCACCCTTTAAAATGATGGACAGTCCCGAGGCACCTTTAAAATGATGGACAGTCCCGAGGCACCCTTTAAAATGATGGACAGTCTTGAGGCACCCTTTAAAATGATGGACAGTCCCGAGGAACCCTTTAAAATGATGGACAGTCCCGAGGCACCCATTAAAATGATGGACAGTCCCGAGGCACCCTTTAAAATGATGGACGGTCCCAAGGCACCTTTTAAAATGATGGACGGTCCCGAGGCACCCTTTAAAATGATGGACAGTCTTGAGGCACCCTTTAAAATGGTGGACAGTCCCGAGGCACCCCTTAAAATGATGGACAGTCCCGAGGCACCCTTTAAAATGATGGACAGTCCCGAGGCACCCTTTAAAATGATGGACAGTCTTGAGGCACCCTTTAAAATAATGGACGGTCCCGAGGCACCCTTTAAAATGTTGTACGGTCCCGAGGCACCCTTTAAAATGATGGACGGTCCCGAGGCACCCTTTAAAATGATGGACGGTCCCGAGGCACCCTTTAAAAATGATGAACGGCCCTGAGGCACCCTTTAAAATGATGGACAGTCCTGAGGCACCCTTTATAATGATGGACGGTCCTGAGGCACCCTTTATAATGATGGACGGTCCTGAGGCACCCTTTAAAATGATGGGACAGTCTTGAGGCACCCTTTAAAATGATGGACAGTCTTGAGGCACCCTTTAAAATGATGGACAGTCTTGAGGCACCCTTTATAAATGATGGACGGTCCTGAGGCACCCTTTAAAATGATGGACAGTCTTGAGGCACCCTTTAAAATGGTGGACAGTCCCGAGGCACCCCTTAAAATGATGGACAGTCCCGAGGCACCCTTTAAAATGATGGACGGTCCCGAGGCACCCTTTAAAATGATGGACGGTCCCGAGGCACCCTTTAAAATGATGGACGGTCCCGAGGCACCCTTTAAAATGATGGACGGTCCCGAGGCACCCTTTAAAATGATGGACGGTCCCGAGGCACCCTTTAAAATGATGGACGGTCCCGAGGCACCCTTTAAAATGATGGACGGTCCCGAGGCACCCTTTAAAATGATGGACGGTCCTGAGGCACCCTTTATAATGATGGACGGTCCTGAGGCACCCCATTCTAAAATATGAGAAACTCTTCTAATAGTTTTTTTATAACACAGCAACACCCACACTTGTAGGACACCCAACATTGGAGGTAATTTATTAACTAAAAGGCCTGTCCACCCACTGGTTTGTATACAAGTTTTGGGCAATTTTTAGACATTTAGCCAAGGCATCCCTGAAGAGACCTCAAGGCACCCTAGGGTGCCTGGGCACCCTGGTTGAGAAAGGCTGCCTTAGGCAACACAAAAATTGTCTGTCTCCATGGACACCGACCAACACAACCCTCCCTTCCCCCTCCTGCGTAGAGGGACATTGACCAACAACACCCCTGCCCCCCACCCGGGAGAGTCTTCCACTACCCCTCCTTCCCAAGCGACAGAGGGACACTTATCTTCACCGCTCCGGAATCAAGCAGCCCGCAGCCTCTCTCGGATCCCACCTGGTTCCCATCATGCACGTGTCCCTTCTTTCATTCCTTCTTCTGGGGGGAGGTGCTACCCCCCTGAAAAATGTCGCCCTAGGCAAGTGCCTTGTTTGCCTGGTAAATACACCCCTGTTTATGTTTTCAATTCAATTCTTTTTACAATCAGCTGTCAGTGCGGAGCTTTGCTGACAGCGGAAACATTGAAGAATGTGTTTTGTAGCTGAACGGTGTCATACGCAGACGCGGTAAGATTCCGCTTTGTGAATTGTCCCCTCTGTTGGAAGCAGAGGCGTAGCTAGGATATTTTGCGCCCGGGGATGAACGGCCACCTCATGACACCCCCCCCCCCGCTTTATATGGTCCCTTTAGACACCTCCCCTATCCCGATCACATTGCCCCCTCTCCCCTTCTTCATCCATGGCACTACTCACCCGGCTTGGCCTCTCCCCTCGTCCCCCCCGGCACATGCCCGGCTCACTGCCCTCCTCTCCGCTCCTCCCCCAGCTGGCTCCTCTCTCCTCTCATAACTCACTGTGGATGGCAGACTTATCGGATGACACTGCTGAGCTTCTGCAGTGATCTTGTGACCTCATTTTGGCACCCCTGTACCTTGGCGCCCAGGTACATATGTACCCCCCTGCCCCCCCTAGCTACGATCTGGTTTGAAGTTCGCGGTCAAACTTTCGTTAGGTTTGAATCTTCGACCATGAACCGAACATGGGGATGTTCAGCCCATCACTGGTACCTACTGTATATGGCGCCATCAATTTACGCAGCGCTTTACATATATATTGTACATTCACATCAGTCCCCGCCCCGTTCTGCACATGTCTAATAGAATGCGCTTCTCCCTAGGTTCACATCTGTGCGGGTGGTGCCGCAGCTCCGCACAAAATACCGTGCAGCCGCCCCACCCGCACAAAGAAATGCTGACCTGCGGGCGAGTGCCATTAATTCTAATGGCACGCCGCCTGCGCTGGAAAACGCAACCGTACTGGGAACCGAGGTTCCTGTGTTGGCTGCGTTCCCTCCATGTCTTGGGGTACGGGAGTCCATTCAAATGAATGGGCTCTTGTGCCCGTGCACAACACGGCCCGCATGGCCGCATAGATGTGAACCGGGGGTCTATGACAGATCAGAAGGGATGAAATAAGAGAAGTCCATTGTAGAGTTTACACTTCAGACTCTTTTTATATGACTCTTCTTTTACGGCGATATCTACAATGACTGCAGTGATAAAACGCACATAGAAGGTTCTCCGTCTAAATCATTAAACGCACTTCAAACACCATAAAAGAGCCAGTGGCCCAATAAACTGCAACCGGTTCAGCGTTCTTGTAATTCATGTTCGCCATACCAGTGCAAGCTTCGCCCAAGGGAACGAAAATCCCAACCCAGAGGATATATAGTATAAAATGTTGGCTTTCTCACAGGCCTTTCAGACTCACCAGCACACATCACCCAACTATAAACGCTCATTTGTAGGCTCTCGAAGTTTTCTGCTTGGCACATACCCTGGGTGGCCCATTCTACCAGTGAGCTGTTATAAATCAGCCATAGCGCCTTGCTTAAGAGTCTCATAAATCCTTTAACATTCTTTTATTTCTTTTCTTTCTTCTTCTAATCCCTATTTCAATTTAGACGTGCCTTCTGTGAATTACCCAACACACACGTGGGGAAATTTATCACAGAAAACCGGCTGCGAAATAATCGGAGATGAAGAGATCACGATTCTTGTACTTCGTGTATCAAGAAATTCAATCTCTGAAAGATTACGTTTTGTGGTGAAAAGTACCCGCGTCTGTATGTAGACACAATATATGTCATCACAATAACTTCAAAAGGATCAAGTCTTGGAGATGGGAGCCTTTAAGTGGCTGTTGGCTTTGCCGTGTACCTGCATTCAGCATGGATATTGGAAGGCTTGGCGAGAGCATGTTTGAGACGAACGAAGAGTCCAAGTCTCATATCCATGTATTGTCTACGGCTAAAGGACGGCGTATGTAGCATGAAGAAGGCAACAGAACACCAGCACTAAATAAGAAATGGCTTGTGTTCTTACCCTTTTAGACTTTCCAGTTCCCCATGACCCTGCCTTCTCTCTCGGGAAGATGAATAAGTGCTTGGTGCTCATCCCTATAATCAATACATCTCTGCCCTCCAATGTTGGTCAGACACCTGGACCTTGGCATAAGGGTTTGCCAGAGTAAAAAATATTAAACTGATGGAGAACCACATGTCCACCATTAGGTGAACACTAAGCAAGAAATGGCATGTTTTCTTCAGACATTAACAGACTTTCCAGTTCCCCATGACCCAGCCTTCTCTCTCGGGAAGATGAATAAGTGCTTGGTGCTCATCCCTTTAATCAATACAGCCCAAGGATGCATCTCTGCCCTCCAACGTTGGTCAGACACCTGGACCTCGGCACAATGGTTGCCAGATTACAAGATATTAAACTGATGGAGAACCACATGTCCACCATTAAGTGAACACTAAGCAAGAAATGGCATGTTTTCTTCAGACATTAACAGACTTCCCAGTTCCCCATGACCCTGCCTTCTCTCTCGGGAAGATGAATAAGTGCTTGGTGCTCATCCCTTTAATCAATACATCTCTGCCCTCCAATGTTGGTCAGACACCTGGACCTTGGCATAATGGTTTGCCAGAGTGAAAAATATTAAACTGATGGAGAACCACATGTCCACCATAAGTGTACACTAAGCAAGAAATGACATGTGTTCTTCAGAAATTAACAGACTTCCCAGTTCCCCATGACCCAGCCTTCTCTCTCGGGAAGATGAATAAGTGCTTGGTGCTCATCCCTTTAATCAATACAGCCCAAGGATGCATCTCTGCCCTCCAATGTTGGTCAGACACCTGGACCTGGCATAAGGTTTTGCCAGAGTAAAAATTTTAAACTGATGGAGAACCACATGTGCACCATTAAGTGAACACTAAGCAAGAAATGGCATGTTTTCTTCAGACATTAACAGACTTCCCAGTTCCCCATGACCCAGCCTTCTTACTGCTCCATCATAACACAATCATAACACAATACTCTGAAAGACACATAAGTGTTTGGCACTCAACACAGCCAGGGTATGCATCCCTGCCCTCTGGCATTGGCCATACCCCTAGACCTTGGCACAATGATTTTTCCAGAGTAGAAGATAGCAAAAAAATGGAGGACCTTGTGTCCCCCGTTAAGTGAACAGAGGAATCACAGACTTCCCAGTTCCCCGTGACCCTGCCTTCTTCCTCAGGAGGACGAATAAGTGGTTCGTGCTCACCCATTTAATCAACACAGCCCAAAGATGCATCCCTGCCCACCAACGTTGGTCAGACACCTGGACCTCTGCACAATGGTTTGCCAGATTACAAGATATTAAACTGATGGAGAACCACATGTCCACCATTAAGTGAACACTAAGCAAGAAATGGGATGTTTTCTTCAGACATTAACAGACTTCCCAGTTCCCCATGACTCAGCCTTCTCTCTCGGGAAGATAAATAAGTGCTTGGTGCTCATCCCTTTAATCAATACAGCCCAAGGATGCATCTCTGCCCTCCAATGTTGGTCAGACACCTGGACCTTGGCATAATGGTTTGCCAGAGTGAAAAATATTAAACTGATGGAGAACCACATGTCCACCATTAAGTGAACACTAAGCAAGAAATGGCATGTTTTCTTCAGAAATTAACAGACTTCCCAGTTCCCCATGACCCAGCCTTTTTCTTTTTCCATCATAACACAATTATAACACAATCCCACAATCCTCCGAAAGATATATAAGTGTTTGGTACTCAACACAGCCAGGGTATGTATCCCTGCCCTCTGGCATTGCCCATACCCCTAGACCTTGGCACAATGATTTTCCAGAGTAGAAGATAGAAAACAAATGGAGGACCTCATGTCCATCATTAAGTGAACAGAGGAATCACAGACTTCCCAGTTCCCCATGACCCTGCCTTCTTCCTCAGGAGGATGAATAAGTTCTTGATGCTCATCCATTTAATCAACACAGCCCAAGGATGCATCCCTGCCCTCCAACGTTGGTCAGACACCTGGACCTTGGCACAATGGTTTGTCAGATTACAAGATATTAAACTGATGGAGAACCACATGTCCACTATTAAGTGAACAGAGGAGTCACAGACTTCCCAGTTCCCCGTGACCTTGCCTTCTTCCTCAGGAGGACGAATAGGTGCTTGGTGCTCACCCATTTAATCAACACAGCCCAAGGATGCATCCCTGCCCTCCAACATTGGTCAGACACCTGGACCTTGGCACAATGGTTTGCCA